AAAAAAAACTTAAATTTGGAAAAATGCTCGATATGTGTTGAGCTCTGTATTCAGTTTGAAAATGAAGAAAAATAGCTCAGGCTCCTAGTCACAACATAGCCTCGATTACATAGCCTACTCAGCAAAAATGGAAAGCCTACTCAGGAAAAATTGAGAATGAATCGTATAACCAGTTATCTGAGCTTACGTTCGCTCAGAATCAATATCCTACATAGCCGAACCTAACTAAGAAAGCAATTATTGGGGTTATCAGCTGTCAGTAATATATTAGCCGAAATGCTAATCTAAGGTCAAAGGATTATAAGATAACGTTTTTATACCCTGAACCCATTAAGAATGGGAAATGGGAAATAGTTTTGTGAAAAGTATGTAACAGGCAGAAGGACTCATCGCAAACCCTATAAAGTATATACATATATATTCTTGATCAGAACCACGAGCTGAGTCTATATAGTCCTGTCCGCCTGTCCGTCCGTCCGTCTGTATGAAGTCATCGATCTCAGAAGATATAAGAGTTAGAGACTTGATATTATAATATGTGCGTATATACAGCGCGGATATCGATTTTGTCTCAAAAAATCGATAACTCATTCCGTTATGTTGTTATCGATTAAAAATATGATCGAATATTAGTTGTTTTATTATATCTCCTACACATTTAAAGATATATAACACCAGCATCAAACTAACTAAAGACGCCCCACAGTATGAAATTGCAGCGAAAGAGGAAAACACATGTATTATGGTAAGATAATATATTAAGTGCATGAAAAAGTATTAAGAGATCAAATAAGTACCAAAGGATAATAACAAAAACAACGCAAAATACAATAAACAAACAACGCAAAATACAAAAAGAAAAGAAAACTTAGAATATGAATGAGTAGGGTGTGAGGTTCAAAGAGGACAGAAATTTTTCCGACGGYTGCTGACACTCCGCYTTAGAATGATCCTCACTCGTCCTTCCAGCGGAGACTGAAATCCATCGTCGAATTGAAGCGGCGCCTTTAGGGGAAGGGCATGTCCTCGACATTTGCCAATGCTGAGACCCTTGCCTTATTACGGTCACTGAACGAGGGCGACGAGTGATGAGAGATAGCCATGTTAATGCTTAATGCTACTCGAGATCATCGGAGTGGATAAACTTCGCGTTCGGGTTAGCTCCATGGCCATCGATTTTTTTTTTTTTTTATTGTTGGACAGGAAAATAATTTTACTTTTTTTTCCGAAATAAAACAGAAATACTTTTTCCCGAAAAAAAAAAACAACTTGAATTTGGAAAAATGCTCGATATGTGTTGAGCTCTGTATTCAGTTTGAAAGTGAAGAAAAATAGTTCCAGCTCCCAGTCACAACACAGTCTCGATTCCAAAGCCTACTCAGCAAAAAGTAAGTCAAATTCGAGTGCAAAGCCTACTCAACGAATTTAAATTCAACTGTATGATGTATCCTCGATTCCAAAGTCTACTTTGTAAGAAGTAAGAGGGCTTCAGTCGAAATTGCCCGACTACGAAATCTCCTGAAGCCTTAGAAGACGGATTTTCTAGTAATTCTTCGTTTCACGTTAATTTATATATAAATTATTAGACATGTTATCGATTTTTGGAAATAGTTCGATTTGCTAAACAGGGACATACAAATTAAATTTCAGGTGTCCAGATCTAATAAGTTCTGAGATAGACATGTTCATATATACTACAGACAGACATCCTTATCCAAAATATATACTTTGTGGGCCCTGCCAGGCCTCCACCTGCCTGTTACTTACATTTCAGCAAAACTATTATACCCTGATATCTCATTTTTCCATGGGTACAGATTATTCAAAAAGTTCAACCGAAGTTTAGTGTATAGATTCAATCTTTATGCAAGAACAATATTCACATATTATATATACATATGATATATATAATTACGTATATTCAGTATTCCAAAGATGACCTAAGCTGAAATGTAATTAGGTTCCATGTTTGACACTTGTCTGTAAACTTAGCTCTTAATTAATTATGTGTATATGTTATCATAACAATTGTATCTTACAAACAAACAAACAAATAAAAAAACGAACTAGAATTCTTTCATGTTAAGCGCAAAATATATAATATGTATATGTATATAAGGCATTCTTTTGAGTACTATTCAAGAAAGTTAGCTTCTTAATGGTTTAATGACTTTCATTATATTTAGTAGATCTCATCATTGAATCCATCGAACCATCGATTGGAGCTGCATTGCATGTTCTTGTATAATAAAAACGAATCGATTTTATTACATTATTGTTGAAGTTTGTTTATAAAATTCGTTGGATAAATGTCTGGAAGTCGATGATTTCTGTGTGGTTTATTGGTAAAAACAACAAAAAAAAAAAAAAAGAAAAAAAAAAACAAA